ATCGTTGGGACTGACCACCAGAATTTCAGGAAATTCAGTGATTTTCAACTCGAAAAACCTTAGATTACCAACAGATGGACATTGGTTTGCGATAGCAGCAGTGATTAAGCCAGGAAGAACCTAAAATGCGATTCTGACGAAAACTTTCGGAAGGCGAAACTCACAGCCAATACGTAGAAGCACACCATAGCTAGATGTCCGCTCACTTCTTCTTCTTCCTACATTTATAGTGTTTACATGCTTCATTAATAATCTATACTGCGAAATTTTCATTAAACGAGGTGTACTTCATAATCAGATGAGCGTTGCAAATTATCGCTCAAACAATGTACGGCTCTCTTTCATTTCTTAACTCAAACGACCTTTTACAATACTCTCATCCGTTGCGTCATCAGCATAAGTGGATCTAATAAAAGCTTATGATTGTTCACAATCAATGTGATCCCACTTTCATTGAGGGCAAACAATTACAAACTCCGGTGGTTTGATTCAAACATTAAAGACATCTGTTAACTCAGCTGGTGGCTTGGGATGTATGCCAAGTTTGTTTCAGTCTTCCTAGCTTTTTTTTTCAACGTTTCAATGCCGAAATTGGTTGGCTATCTATTCTGAAAGATGATTTAAGATACATAGATGAATGAATTTTACATGGAATTGTTTGCACCACTGCTAGGGAAAACAATAAAAGATAAGTGGGTGTTCTTGGATGAAGCCCTTCAAGATGGTCATCATCACGTAAGGTTTGGAGCCAAAATCTGAAACCATTTAGTTAAAGTAAAAGTCAGATCTCAGTTTGTAAAGTTTACTAGCTGGCTTACTCGGCCCCCAGCTCTGTCAAAACACCATGTTAAAGGTTACCAACCCCTTGTGTCAATTTCCGGATCGATAGAATCACAAAAAGAATCTGGTATTCGTAAAAACTAATTTGAAAAACTAGTTTTAAATTAAACTTTAATTAAATTAAATTAAATTAAATTAAATTTTTCTAAACTAGTTTTCGCATGCCCACTTAACCTCTCGTGCCACACCTTAGTTCCAACTTGCAAAAAATGGTAAAATTGATAGAAGCAATAGATAGTTATGCTAATACTGTATTTATAGCCAGCATGCTCATTTACCCCTGTGCCAACTCCCTGTGGTCGAATTCTAGAATAAAAATCAATACTGATCGATTACGAAAAGTAGCCTAAGACACCCGTTCCGCGCCGAAGTGTATGTGTGCAGTGTTTGGTCTTATCGGTTCAGAGAATTTCTATCGTACACACAGACAGACATACAGACAGACACGCGGACAAACAGACATTCAGCTTCATATATAAGATAACCTCCATATTTAGTCACCGACTAAACACACGCTAGCATTCGTATATGACTTTGCAGTACTTTTTGAGCTAGAAATTAAGAAATGAAATTTGTCATACTTCTGTCAAAGCAATTCGGGGCTGTTTTCCACATGTGTAGTTTCACAGGGTGGCCGGTAAGTATGAGCGCCACAACATTTAGTACATCTCTTTCCTGTTATATTCTATCATGGCGGCTAACATGCCTGCAGGTTATGGACGGTCTCTGTTTCAAGATAAATAAGAATTACGCCAATTACGATTACGCAATTACGCTCCCCCCCCCCCCCCCCAATTACGTCTTGTGATGCAAACGAGACTCCGGAGTCTGCTTCCTCTTGCAAGGCGCTGCTCGAGGTCTAATCAGCACGATGTTTATTGTACCTTATTTTACTCTGTAAAAGAGGAAAGTGTGCTGTTACAGCACTGTGTTATTGTGATATTCAGTCCATGCTTTATAAAACCTGAGCTCTCAAAACCTTTTCGATTATTGACCGGATTATCGCTTGGGTGGGTTGGGTTCGCAACGAGTACATTCTTCAACTACAATTTTTTGACGCATTAGTCACAATAAGCTGTTGAAGTTTGTATGCATGTTCCCATGTTCAGTCTTTAGGATTAACACTGATTTTGGCGTGCAATTCTAAAGAAACTTGTTTTTTGCGTATAGTTTTGCAAAAAATGGCCTATACTTTCGGCTTCCCTCTTTATATTAGGTTGTCCCGAAAGTTTTGTCCGTTTTTTCAACCTATCATAAAAACACGAGAAATGAAGTTAGGGAAACGCTCTAAGCATTACCCGACGCATCTTTTCCTCCTCTTTCTAAGTGTCATGCTCTCATGGCGATTACTCCTTTGCTTACTGAGATAAACGCCTAAATTTCAAACCCATTGTTTTTATTACGTCCAAGTTTGGCAATTTTTCACTATCTTCATTTTTGACTTTCGGAAAAGCTTTGGTAGCAAACAGATAGAGCAAACCAAGGGCAATATAATGCAATTTTGCGGCATATATAGGTAGCCTTGAAAATTTTTTATAATTATTTTTCTGATGCTATCAAATTCCACTTTTGGTGATGCCAAAAGCCAAACATCATGAAACGGCGAACACCTAAGGTGTTGTTCGATGCAGCTTTTCCTCCTCTTTCCAGTGAGTTTATTTTCCCTCCAATTTGTGGGGTCTTTAGCGATAAAATTTCCATAATTTTTAGATTTGACCCCGCCCCAGCGTATACCGTAAAATGCGAAATCTTATATTTCGAAGCGGTAAACGCTCAGTTGCTCTGTAAAAATAGTGAATAATCGTAATCGATTTTTGAAAGCTTTAAAATTCGATGATTTGTTAATGTTCGAGGCGTTTTATTTTGGCAATTTGCAAAAGTGAAGACTTTTGAAAAAAACATCTTAAAAAATACTGAAAAGCCAGCCGGTCAAGCCAAAAAATTGCATTGCATTGCCCTTTGTTTACTCTATCTGAGCGCTATCAAAGGTCTTCCAAAAGTTGAAGATGAAGATTGAGAAAAATTGCCGAACGACATAGTAAAAACCACGGATTCGAAATTTCGGCGTTTATCTCAGTGGGCAAAAGAGTAATTCGCATGGTATTATGATAATTAGAAAGAGGGGGAAAAGCTGCGTCCGATAGTACCTGAAGCGTTTTCCTACCTTTATTCCTCATGTTTTTATGATAGGTTGAAAAAACGGACAAAACTCGGGACAACCTAATATAAGGTTGAACAAAAGTGATCTCGCTTTGATTCTGCAAAGGTAGCTGCTCCTTATGTGAGCATATTGCCTACGAAAAATATTGTCTGAAACGAAAAGTCATCTAGTTTCTAAGAACATCTTTGCGGCTTTTTGACACCAATAGGTGACTCCACAGATAGAAATCAAAAAAGGAAAGCCACTCAAAGCCCCGATTTTCGAAAACTAATCGTCAAATTTCTGAAATGCTGCAGAAAAATCTGAGAGCATGTATCCTAGAGGTTCTGTGAGCTGCTCTTTCTAATAGTGCCAAGTTTGTGCCGATCGAGTTTTTCTAAGAAAAGTTATGATTTTCATGAGAAATGCAAAAACGGCACAAATGACGTTTTTGCATTTTTGGCGGTTGAACCGAAAGTGATTAGATTCGCCTGGAAGTTGACAAATTTCATTTCTTAATTTCTAGCTCAAAAAGTACTGCAAAGGCATATATAGTCGTCCTCACCCCACTAGTCGGTCGGTGGACGAATTCGAATTCGAACTGGAGCAGGCAGGTCGCGGCAGAGCACGGCACCTTAGCTCTCCGTTCAAATTCACGCATTCACTTTGCGTATTTCTTTGCCATTGCTTAGCAGTTTTTGTATTGTTACAACGTTTTTGACCTATACTGAGTTTTTGTAATTGCTGAGCGTTGTCTCCTGCCGCGCTCTGCCATGACAGGCCTACTCCATTTCAAATTTGAATTCGTCCACCGACCGACTAGTGGGGTGAGGGCGACTATACGAATGCTAGCATGTGTTTAGTCGGTGACTAAATATGGAGGTTATCTTATATATGAAGCTGAATGTCTGTTTGTCCGCGTGTCTGTCTGTATGTCTGTCTGTGTGTACGATAGAAATTCTCTGAACCGATAAGACCAAACACTGCACACATACACTTCGGCGCGGAACGGGTGTCTTAGGCTACTTTTCGTAATCGATCAGTATTGATTTTTATTCTAGAATTCGACCACAGGGAGTTGGCACAGGGGTAAATGAGCATGCTGGCTATAAATACAGTATTAGCATAACTATCTATTGCTTCTATCAATTTTACCATTTTTTGCAAGTTGGAACTAAGGTGTGGCACGAGAGGTTAAGTGGGCATGCGAAAACTAGTTTAGAAAAATTTAATTTAATTTAATTTAATTTAATTAAAGTTTAATTTAAAACTAGTTTTTCAAATTAGTTTTTACGAATACCAGATTCTTTTTGTGATTCTATCGATCCGGAAATTGACACAAGGGGTTGGTAACCTTTAACATGGTGTTTTGACAGAGCTGGGGGCCGAGTAAGCCAGCTAGTAAACTTTACAAACTGAGATCTGACTTTTACTTTAACTAAATGGTTTCAGATTTTGGCTCCAAACCTTACGTGATGATGACCATCTTGAAGGGCTTCATCCAAGAACACCCACTTATCTTTTATTGTTTTCCCTAGCAGTGGTGCAAACAATTCCATGTAAAATTCATTCATCTATGTATCTTAAATCATCTTTCAGAATAGATAGCCAACCAATTTCGGCATTGAAACGTTGAAAAAAAAAAGCTAGGAAGACTGAAACAAACTTGGCATACATCCCAAGCCACCAGCTGAGTTAACAGATGTCTTTAATGTTTGAATCAAACCACCGGAGTTTGTAATTGTTTGCCCTCAATGAAAGTGGGATCACATTGATTGTGAACAATCATAAGCTTTTATTAGATCCACTTATGCTGATGACGCAACGGATGAGAGTATTGTAAAAGGTCGTTTGAGTTAAGAAATGAAAGAGAGCCGTACATTGTTTGAGCGATAATTTGCAACGCTCATCTGATTATGAAGTACACCTCGTTTAATGAAAATTTCGCAGTATAGATTATTAATGAAGCATGTAAACACTATAAATGTAGGAAGAAGAAGAAGTGAGCGGACATCTAGCTATGGTGTGCTTCTACGTATTGGCTGTGAGTTTCGCCTTCCGAAAGTTTTCGTCAGAATCGCATTTTAGGTTCTTCCTGGCTTAATCACTGCTGCTATCGCAAACCAATGTCCATCTGTTGGTAATCTAAGGTTTTTCGAGTTGAAAATCACTGAATTTCCTGAAATTCTGGTGGTCAGTCCCAACGATTATGCTTCAGACTATACGTAACACGTTATACTAGCAGCTAGACAAGCGAGAACAATTACGGAAAGCATAATTACGTTCTGCAGATGATAGCTTTATATATAAGATTCTGAACCGTAATGATTCTATATCTTGCAGGACTCGAAATGTCACGATAAGCAGTACAGAAATTTGGCCAAGAAGGTTTTGAGAGAGTATACAGCACGAGGACAACTGCGCGAGGGAGCACTGATGAAAATTGCAAAAGCTTATAAAACATCAGAGTAAGTCTCTGCTTACATACCTTACTGATAGTTGTCGACAACTTACGATTATGTTACAGCACAAGGAAAGAAGCTCTTGAACATCTCCAGCAACAGTTGAACGAAGCGAAGTTTGAGGTAAATAAGTCCTTTCAGTTTTGACGAGATACTGCTAGCATGTCGGAAAGCTTCAGCAAACATACTCATCAGACTGTTGTAATATAATAAGAAATTTTGCTGAGGCGTTTATCAACAAGGCCTTAGCAGACCTGAAGCAAGTCTCAGTTTCTCAAGATTCTGAATCTCTCTGGGAAATCTCTCCAGCACATGATATATATCTGACAAACTAAAAAGACTAGCAGGATGTCTTTCTTTCAGCTACTGAAGAAAGGTCGTTGGGAAGGTGTCATGGCGTACATATGTGTCGAAAACAAAAACAGAATGATCTGTGTGCTATGCAGAGGAACATGCGCTTTGTAGCTTTCTTCTAATATCTCCTCAAATAAACTGCTTGAGTCGCATGTGTCGAGACGCAGATTAATTACGTAACCTGACAGTCTCTCCGACTAGGCAGTGCCACCAATCTTAGGTGAGTTGGCATTTCCAGGCTCGGTGATTCCCTCCACATTTCTGTTTCCCTTTTGCATAATAATCCGCTCTTGAGCCCTGCATAGGCTCGCACGCATTCAATAGCCTCTTCGACATGAAGTAGAGTGCGTTCGGCGCATTCCCGCAGGGGTATTGAAGACGCCAAATCTTCTATCGTCTATGATAAGAAATCGAATCGAGAACTGTTATGTTGAAACAAGGGGAACAATAGGGTAGAGCGACCAAGTCCCAAATAGCTAACTCGTAGACTTGACACATGGCACGTAATTGTTGGTTGATATGAAAGTGAATAGCAGAAAGCGCATACGTCAGTAAGTCCCGAGAAAGACTTTAGCTTTAAGAAACCTTCATAAGTCAGGAAGTCAGCCGCCAACATAGATCGTCGATCGTAAGAGAGAAACAGCTTTCCGAACAGCAGCATTTACCCAAAACAGCCTCTTTGTCTAGATTATTCTAAACTCCGTGACCTGTTCTCGGACGGCTGTCAATTAGTCGCCACCTACAGTGCCACCCCGATAATCTTGACGAGCTTTATATTTACCAACAATCTAGTGACGCAACTCAAGCACCTCGTTATTTCAATACCGTAATCCAAGCTGGGTGGAACGCCATCACCTGCTGCCAAACTTTCTTGTCCGGTTGTTAGGTTGCTCATTATTTAATCAGAGGACTTCAGTGTCTCATTAGACCCTTAGACCTAATAGCAATCAATACACCGTGATTGCTGGCAATATTTCAAGCATAAGAACTTTGAATCTTCACCATTTGGAGATTTTGATAAGCTCAGTTTTTCTACAATTTGAATAGACTTCATTCAGGATTGCTCGTCATTCCAATCAGCCTTATACTAGCTTATCTTCCTTATCAAATCACTAGTCATACAATAATAACTTAACTTGAAGTTGCCTTCAGCGGATGAAGAGAAGAAAAGGATAAAATCCTTGGCACAAGCACAAATTGCAAAATGAGCGATAAGAAAATTCACGCATATTTATGATTTTTGTTGAAGTGAAAAAACAGGCGTGATCATAAGTTTTGCTTGAGTGTATACGTGTACATTGACATTTCTCCAAACCTGTTTTCAAAAATTCAAAAAGACGCTTTACATTTCTTCTCAAATTCAATGAATTTATTAATAGATTATGTGTACAATGGTACTATGTTGTAACAAGTCTTGAGACACTTTAAGGCGACAATTCCTGCTGTTCACATTTTCAATAGGGTTACAGGGCTCCACTCGATAGAGCAAAGTGAGCCCTACAACAAATTATGCAAAAGTTCGCTGCGACTTCGACCTACTTTAAGTTTGCATCCAAAATGTGAGTCGTACTGAAAGCTCAGTAAATCGCGAAAAATTCATATCTTCGTTTCAAAACTACGAATCTCCAACTTGCTCACTAAAATTGCACACTACATTAGACACTCATATGTACCGTTCCTGAATCTCTTCCTCGTTTGAAAATCAAAAAAACGAGAATTTTCAAGTTTTTACAAAAACGAGACTAAGCAGTTTTCACTTATGTAATTGTATACGACAATCCCTAAGCATAACCGTAGATTTTCAGTTCTCCACAGGCCCTAGTTTTCGAGAAATGTTGATTTCAGCTCTCCTCGCTCTGGCGTTTCATGCTAAAATCAATATTTCTCGAAAACTAGGGCCTGTGGAAAGCTGAAAATTTACGGTCATACCTCTATGTGAGTTATTGTAGATACAGTTACATAACTTGAAACAGCTTACAAGGGAAGCGTGTTTAGTCGAAGTGGCCTTTTCAGATGAGACCCATACTGCTTTGAAGAGTATTGCACGGTGATTCCAAATCTGTCTTCCAGAACTGTCAAGCGCCTCTGGACGCCGTATGACCGTTTTTGGAACAAAAAGTGAACGCAGAATTTGGGTAAAATCGATTATTACATCCTTTACAGCGCTCAGATGAAGCAGAAGTATAAGTATAAGTAGAAGTAGAAGTATCTGAAAGAGTTAGCATATGAAGTGGAAGTGGAGTCTACAGGGTGAAAAAGAATGGGCGTCAGATTTTTAGAGATTTTCATGGAAAACGAGGTTACGTAGCATTGTTATTTGCGTGTCAAAAAGGAGCATCTTAGGGTGTTGCTCTTACAAGGCGGGGTTCTTGCACATGCACAAAAACTTCAGGGGCTTATCTTGGAGCTAATGCGTTGAAAAGTGTTACTTGGAGAATGTACCCGTTGTGAAACCGTGGCCATAATCCGGTTACTGATCGAATAGATTTTGAGACCAAAGGTTTTGTAAAGCGTAGCCTGAGGAATGTTTCTAGCAAGAGATTATTGCTTGAAAACATCCAAAAAAGTTGAGTCATAAGATAAAAATGATTGCCTCAAAGCAAAGTATTAGCCCAAAAAAGTTCTTTGTGACGTAGCTCTCCTGAACTCTGTGACTGTTCTCACATGGCTGTCAATTAGTGGGCCACCCACTGGATCCATCGATGATTTACTGCGAAGTTGCTACCTATCTGATGACGCAACCCTAATATCTCGTAATTATGGTACCGTAATCCGAGATCTGTCTCTCAGCGCCCACATTGCACCTGTTGACAGATTTCCTTGTCCGCTTGTAAGGTCACATGTAATGCGTTAATTGGAGGATCTCAATATCTAATGAGCATAATATGAGAATTGGTAGTCAATCCTCTTTTAGTGACCTTAGGAAGCTTGCGAATAACTATAGCAAAATGTACTGCATACCGACCAAAGGAGCTGAAGGAAATGATGTGGTGTATGGGAAAGAAAAGCTGATACCCAAGCTTCCGAACTGCGAAACTCAGAAAATCGCAAGTGACTCGAAAAACTGAACTTCTGAAACTTCCAGGGCGGACGCTCCTACTGGACCGTGTGGGTGGGCCGCGCCCTACCTGGCCCTCCCTACCTGGTAGCTCCAATAAGAGTGTCCCCCGGAAGTTTCAGAACTTCAGTTTCCCCCGGAAGTCATTTGCGATTGTCTGAGAATGAGAAGCTTTCTTGTACACAAGTGCTATAGTAACATTGTCTTTACGCGATGAGGATTTGCGCCTGGAAGAGTTTTTACAGCACCGCTGTGCAAATAAGAGCTGACACAGTATCCAATAGAATTCTCAAGAGATGCCGCTTTCAGAAAAGCAGTGTCAACAAATATGTTTTGCGGCGAGTAGGTGCCAACCAACATCCGATCGCATTACCGTATCCATCCATTTGTGGACTCTTCAAACTTACGGTTGCCCATGTAGGATTGGTCCCTTGAAAATCCCGCATGTGTATTAAAGCGGTTCAAAAATTTTATATGGGACAAATGTAAATTTAAATCATTTGTGTCCAACTAAGACAATGTACTGATGCGTATAAAAACACACTTTCACCTCCTAATGGTCAGAATTTTGCATGCGCAGAAAGGCACTTCCAAACATTTAGTGGATGTACTAGTAGCTGCACTCGAACGTCACAGCTATAACATTGATATCAAATCTGACAATTACTCATTCAACTTTCAGTGACAACCTTCAGATTTGTAATTAGTTATTGTTATTGTCAATTTGTTATTATTATTCAAAAAAAATTCGAGTTTCCTATTTGCTATTTGCAAGTGTTCTATGAGATCCAGGATCAGTGCCTACAGTATTCTGTGACAAAAGAGGACTCGGCAGAGGTAGCTTATAAGCAAGCTGGATATCGTGGCACAAAAAGCAAAGAAAATATCGTTTGTGGGTCCAAAAAAACGATTAGCTTTTTTAGTCTACGTTTCGTTTTTTAGTCGATTCGGATAATTCGGATAAAGACAAAGGGGAATTCGTAAAAATCTGCGAAAGTCAAAGGAAACTTCGTTTTCTGCATTTTCGGAAAACCACCTCGCGCCGAGTCCTAGACCAAATCACTTGTAGTCGGCGTTCCTATGATCCCACTGGCTTAGTAGGTTAATTATTTACACCTCAAAAATGACCCTTTGAAGCGGAGCTCTCAATTACGCAAGAGACCATAACGGAGTTGAGAGCCACTTGAATTGCAGATTCTTTTGTAGGAGTTGAAATCAATCTGTTTTAGTTCAAAAATCTATGACATATGGATCCTCGTGATTTTTCTAAACTCCTTCTTCGACAGCATTATGCGACTTTTATTTGAATACGTAATTTCAGAAATTACACGACTATTCGATTCGATCCTTTCAGAGCTCTTGCTCAGCTATCCAGCTTGCAATAAAGTCGGTACTGGCCGGGATGAAACATATCATTACTGTAATACGGTAGATTGAGAAGACATTTTTGCCTGTGTAAAATGTTGAAGTCCTTATTTTATACAACATCTGTTTTCACTCATTCGAAATGCGATTGCTCCTAGTGATAGGAAATCCTACTGCATCGGATGCCTCAAAATTTTTATAGTGACAAAGCCGACGGTATCTAATACATAAAAAAATCGTAACGCCAATTCAAAAAACGTCAGATAGCGGGAACCGCAAAGCGGTCCCGAAGCGCACGGATGCAAATATACCTTTGGTTATTGTTTAACTAGTATTTCAAGGAACATCAAAAGAGCAGCTAATAGTTGTC